ATGGCCCGCGGCAACCCCGCAAGCGTCACCTCACCAGGCCCTTAGTGCCCTCACCACTCTCTAGGAGCGACCAATGGCCGGCCAGCAATCGTAATGGCAACCCGTGCTTTTCTCGTGTTGGTTCACAGGAACCTCCTGAGGTAAACAACAGGAGGCGTCGCGAGCTCTCTTTCTCTCTTGCCCACGTGATCCGCTTGCGCGTTAAAAGGGGGGCTCCTGAGCATCGTGACTCAGGAGCCCTTACTGGCTCTCCAGCCCTCACCCCCTGGCCTTGTCCACGGCATCGTGACCTGGCATACCAGTGGCAGCTGAGCTTGCTCGAGGGCCGGGACCTGAGGACATAGAGCACGAAGGAGAGTGTGGGGAAGAGAGGGGAAGCTCGCGACGGCCTAACCCAGCTACATCCCAGCTGCAGACGCACGAGTCCGGCGCCTCGCAAATGAACAACTCCATGCTTTCGATATAAGTCTCTCCCCTGGAATAGCTAATTGATGCGACATGAAACCTCCACTTAATGCGGCTCTGTGACGGCGACATTGCCTTCCTTTCTCACCTTCCGGCGGCTGCTTGAGCGCTAAAGGGGACCTCCCGAGCATCGCGCCTCAGGGGCTCTTACTGGACCTCGGGCCGCTCACCTTCTAGCCTTGACCACGGCATTGCGACCTGGCATACCAGCGACGGCTGAAGCCTGCCTGGGGACCGGGACCTGTCGGCGTAGAGCACCAAGTCGTCGCGGGGTTAGAAAGGGGGAGCCAAGCCGGAACAGGACAAGCATCTGCACCACTTCATAATAAGGATAATATCAACAAAAGGCATTGCGGATCCTTTACATGCCCCCACAGGGTGTTTTCCCAATTTCTCGCAGGGAACAAAAGGTGCGAATCCTAAGGAGCCCTAACTACACGCGCCCCCATGGCCAATGCCATCATCAACAGTGGGCCACGGGAGGCCGGCGCCAACCCCATCCAGATCAGCCGCCTTGCTCCGGGCACGACACGAGCTCGGGGGCACGTAGCTGTCGTCGCTCGTCTCCGAAGTAACGAAGAGCTCGGGAGAGTCGCTGGACTCCCAAGCATCACCGTTGTTGCCAGAGGAGCCGTCAGGGAAGCGCGCGACAGGCCTAGCCCTTGCCGCGTCGATGTCCTGGTTGCCTCCTCTGGGGCAGCACTCCAACCGACGGCCTTCTGCGTCGAAGACCTTGAAGAGCATCAAGGAGGCTCCATCGTATTCAAAATGAATCACGAGGGCACCCCCTGTTCGGCAAACCCGGGCAATCTCGCCCCAGCCTCGGGTCATGAAGACCTTGCCCAGAGCGACGACTTCTACCTCCACTCCGATCGTCGCAGTACCGCAGTCGGCGTGCTGCAACCAAGGCTCGAGAGGCCCCCTCGGCGGCATCTCGAAGGCGAAGAAGGGAGGAAAGCGGATCCAGGTGCTCAGGGCATCGCGGCGTGGAGCACGAGCTCGCGAGAGGAGTCCGCGACATGGACTCTAGGAGCAACGGCCCGCACCGCCATGGCTCATCGACCTCGCCGACGGCGCGGGCAGCGTCGCTCGACGTCTCCTTCTCCGGGGCCCTCAGCCCGGGCATACAGAGGTAGCGGGAACCTAGGAGGTGGCCGCTCGCACCAAGGCCTCATCATCTCCGGCCTCGCAACTTCGTCGCGGTGGCCAGGGACCGGCCGTTTCTTCGGTGGGAGCGGGCCAGGCCCCTCCCGGGGGGCCTTTCCTTTCTCCTCGGCTTAGAACCGGCGGATCGATGCCGTTGGCGTCGAGAGGAGGAGCAAGGGAGAAGAAGCAGGCGGAGCAAGAAGAGATAGGCAACGGGGGCTCACGCCTCTCCGTACTTATAGTCCAGAGGAGGCCAACCGTCGGCCTCCACGATCGCAGGTAATCATGACTCTTTTTGCATGCAGCAAGGACTCGTCAAATCGGGCAGTTGCCGAGGCAGCGTGGGGAAGCGAAGACGCCCACGTCCAATCAACCGCCATGCGGCGACCAAGGCCGCAGGCTGTTGGGGCCCGCGGCGCACCGCACTTGCCCTCTGGCTTCGCTGCTAAGCCAAGTCCGAGCGTGCCTTGGGCCCGGGGGCTACTGTCGGGGTTCTGGGAACGGTGGTCCCCAGACTTGCCTACCTGCGGCCTGCAGTGTGGCTCGAGCGGTGGCCCAGTACGACTCGTCTTCATCAAGCCAAGTTCAAGACCCTCGCGAAGGGCCAAGCCTCGCGGGGCGGACGACACAAGGCTTCCTCAGGGGCGGCCTCACCAGGCAGGCTCGCGAGGAGGCGGAGAGATCGAGGTAAGGAGTACCTCGCGAGGTGCTCATGACGCAAGCCATGACGATCAAGACCAGGCGGGCGCCAGCCAGCGCAGTGTCCTCGTTTCCTCTTTGGTGCAAAGGGGGCAAGCGCAGGCGCGGAGTACCGAGGCGTTAAGCAAAGGTTTCCATATCAGTGCAACGAGACCAAGGCCAGCAGAGCGATAGGACGGAGGTCACCGTGGAGCCCAAGACGGCGTCATCACCAGTGCCTTTGGCAGATGAAGACCAATTTTAGTCAGGATAGCTTGTACTAGCTGTCCCCCTTCAAAATAGCCGTTGTTGGCTCCCTTCCCGCTCAATATTTGGGAAGACGACCAGGGCCTCTATAAATAGAGATAGCCACCACAGTAGAAGGGGGATCCGATCGAATCCTTCCCTGGTAGAACACCGCACCAGCTCAAGAACACCCCTCGTGAGGTTGTTCTTCCTCTGTACTGTTCATCACTAGCCCTAGAGGCAATCCACCACACCACACACTGGATTAGGGTATTACACCACAACGGTGGCCCGAAGCAGTATAAATCTCGTGTCCCTTGTGATTGTTCATCGTGCTAGCTTAGATTCGCGGCGAGGTTTTGGGGCGTGGATCGGTAGGGAGAAGATCTTCGTGCGCACCCCAGAGTTCGAACCTTAAGGGTTTTGCCGGAACCCGATATCCGACACGGATGTCCGGGCTGGCGGGGTCGGCCTTGATGCTCTCTGGATAGGCGGTGTCCGGATTTCCGGGCTGGCCGTTGGATGTCCGGGCCCTGTAGACTTGGCCGTTGGTCCTTTGCTGCACGCGACACCTCCAGGGGCCGGATGTCCGGGGTCATGGTCGGATGTCCAGGTCCTAGGAGTTGTTCTTGACTCTTTCCATTGGTTCTCTTCGTCCATGAACCTGGGGACTTGTCCGTCTTCACGTGAATCTTCGGGAGGGTCCCCTTGGTACCTAATCATGCACAACGTTCCAGACTTAGGTAGTAGCCATGTCTCGAGTGGATCATATGTGATATCACTAAGGAAAGAAGTCACCTCGGTCTCGAGAGCTCTAGCTCGTGCTCGTGTCATAGGTCCTTTTGGCACTTGGTGAGACGATGATAGGTCCATGAGGATGACCATAGGATGCTCCGCATCACTACCACATACGGATACAGATGTATATAGACATCTTTAGTTTGGCAGCACAGTTTATCTAAAACAGTAGTATTACAAAACCTCGGTATTCCAATGCGTGGACGTTGAACACTTCAGTATCTAAAAACCACAATTTTTCGTGGCTTTGGCAAAACCATTGAGGCGTTTGCCAAATCGTTTTTTCTCAGTTTTCTCCAATTGTCACCAGTTGTTAGGTTGCATGGATAACACTGAAGATATCGAGCTGAACCGAACTCAGCTACACGATCTAACCAGCTTGTGCTCACGGCTGATGTATGCATGCAGCGTTGTGTAGAGAAATTGACGAGATCAACGACAGAGTAGGCATACAAGGGCGCGTACCTTCCTTCCCATGTGTTGAGCTTGAATTGTTTATTCATAGCTACAGAGAAATGAAGTATAATCACACTGGTTGACGGCTGGAAAGATGGAGTTGAGAGACCGACGAGAAGATCGTTTCTCGGTTTTTAAAGAAGGGGTCCGGACCTCTTTTTCTAATACCGTGAAAAAACCATGGTTTTGGAGATACTTCGGTTTTGTAAAATGGAGTATTTGTTGACGCCAAAGGCATCAAAGTATTTTAAACCATGGTTTCTAAAAATACCATGGTATTTTTCTAGAACTTCAAAAATACTGTGGTGCCAAACGCAGCCTTAGAGTGTAGATTCACTCATTTTGCTTCGTATGTAGTTATTTATTAAAATCTCTAGAAAAAAGATAGATATTTAGGAACGGAGGGAGTAGGGCGGAGGCTGTATATTGTGGGCCTATTATATTGAGCCTTCTTCCTTTCTTTTGTGTAGGATGATTACTAGAATGATATTTTAACAAAGATTATTGTGTGATGCACAGGCCGGGATTATCTTCTGTTTCTACGAGATTTTTCTTTTCAAAATCTATACGCATGCCGACTGTACTGTTTTAGATGAGCCTGTCTACGGGGCGAGGACATGCTAGGATCTTTGAACACACCGTCAGTAGCGTCGACAGAGTTTTGGACCAGATTAGAGAAGATCTTCAAGTCTGGAGGGCAGCGGGGTGTGTTCTGGATCTTACTTTGTAAAAGCCTCTTACAAAAGCCTCTTGTAATTGGGGTGTTCTATCCTGGGGTTGGCGCCCTCGGGAGGTCTTTCAGTGCGAGACCGCCTAGCCTGTCTGACCTTGTTGTACTCTTCTCCTCTTTCTAATAAAATTCGGCCAACGGCCCTTCGAGGACATGCGCGTGGATGTGCAGTCGCGCTCAACGAAATGCAATCAAAACGAGTATTGCCAAGCGCCAGCTGCTGTGGCCGATGGAGATAGTGGAGTTCCGTTGAGCGGCCTCCAGTCCCCGGACGGCTTCCCCATCTCCATCCTTAAAAATCCTTTGAAAACGCAAACACGCACGCGCGGCTGCTTCTAGTAGATCCTTAAAGTAAAGCAAATGATGTCCATTAAATTCCCTCTCGCTGCCGACGTACATTGCCTACAAAACGATCCACACAGCTCCACACAAATCGTAGCACCGAAGGATAGCAGCAGAACACGCACGCACAGGAGATACGATGGGCCCATTTTCGCGGTTCCTCGTGGCGTTGGCGGTGGCGCTTCTCCCCATCGTCGGTGCCGCGGCCGGCGGCCGCACCGGCGACCGCGGGACGCGCTACGCCGGCGTCTTCAGCTTCGGCGACTCGCTCACCGACACCGGGAACTCGCTACGTCTCGCGGCCACCCGCGCGGGGCCGTCCAGCCGGCCGCCCTACGGCGAGACCTTCTTCCGGCGCCCCACTGGCCGCGCGTCCGACGGCCGCCTCGTCGTCGACTTCATCGGTGACCACCAGCTAAACCAACAGTTTCAGTATGGTAGTGCATTGATACGCTTGTAAATCATTGACTCACGTGAGACGTTGATCTTGGTACGTGGAGCAGCTGAGGCGCTGGGGGTACCTCACCCGACGCCGTACCTCGCCGGCAAGAGCGCGGAGGATTTCCGGCGCGGCGTGAACTTCGCCGTCGGTGGAGCGACGGCGCTTGGTCCGGATTTCTTCAAGAGCAGAGGGCTTGAGCCGTTTGTGCCTGTCTCTTTCGCAAACCAAGCCACCTGGTTCAAGAACGTTTTACCGCTTCTTGGCTCAGTTCACAGTAAGTAAACCGCACGTCCAGCTTGATTTCTACTAGTACTCTATTTTATCAATACAAACTTATTTAATTACACGTGCGTCATACTATCTTTTTTAGCGATGCTTTTGAGGAAAAACACGTGTGTTGTACCAGTATCTTTATTATTGCAAGGAATGACATATACAGGGATGCATGCATGCATGCATGGTGTTGTGTAAAGGGTCGCCCTTTGTGAAGAACGCATGGCTGGTCAATTTGATAATCTTCTTTTTTTTCATGATGGGTGCATCGTCACCTTATAATAATAGACCGTACAAGGATCATGGCAACCTCGCTCTTCATCGTCGGCGAGATTGGAGTTAACGATTACCTCGTCGCCTTTGCCGGGAACACCACCGTCGAGGAGGCGCGGGCCTTCGTGCCGCACATCGTCGGCGCCGTCCGTTCAGTCGTGACCGTAAGCTAGTCCACTCCCGTGATCATTTGGTAGTATCAGTCAGTCAAATAAATCTGTTCTCCATTCCAACAGTGCGTGAGAATGCTTGCAGGAGGTGATCGCCGCCGGAGCGAGGACCGTACTGGTTCCGGGGATGATACCGCTCGGCTGCGAGCCACAGCTGCTCGCCCTCTACCAGAGCGGCGACCACGACCCGTCGTCCGGTTGCATCAAGCCGCTCAACGAGCTCGCCGAACTGCACAACCGCGCGCTGAACGGCATGCTCCGAGAACTCCGGCGAGCGCACCCGGGGACGGCCATCCTCTACGCCGACCTCTACGGCGCCGTCGCCGACCTCATCGCGTCGCCCCGGAAATACGGTACGCATGCATGCGCCAGTAATCATCAGCCACCGGCAGCTAATCATCAGTTTTCTCCTGACCTCGTCTTCTCCGTCGATCTCAGGGTTTAGGGATGAGCCGCTGGCGGCGTGCTGCGGCGGGAGCGGCGCGTACAACTTCAACATGACGGCGTTCTGCGGCGCGGCCGGGACGGCGGCGTGCGCCGACCCGTCCAAGTACGTGTCCTGGGACGGGGTGCACTTCACGGAGGCCGCCAACAGGCACACCGCCTGCGCCACGTTGAAGACCAACTCGCCTGCTCTGCTCAACTCGTCGACGGCGGAGGCGAGACGAAGGATTGGGTGCGCCTAAAAGCCTAAGCCTAACTAAGACAGCGACAGATGGAGTAGAGCAGTTCCGGCTCAATTAATCCTGGCGCACGTGGACGCTCTCCTGCTAAGGCATCTAACTACACTTTTTGACTAGGCAGGCTGCTCGTGTTGCCGTGTGCGGTGCATTTGTAAAAGAAAATGTGTTTCAATTAGATGCACACCGTGATTGTTTAGAGGAATTGAGAAATATAGTGATCGTGCTTTATAAACTCGTATCTTGCTCACTCACTTCGATTCATTGTATTTGTCATCAGCTTTCTTTTCTTTTTCTTTTTTTACATGGATACGAGTCATACAAAACTCAATAAGGCTATGTTCGGTTGAAAGAGATTTGAAAAGGGTTTGACACGGATTGAAGTCAAAATCCCCTCCAATCCTCTTGTAGAGGGGGTGTAACCGAACAAGGCCTAAAGAGACCATAGTTGGACTGGAGCAGCGGTGTTGCCACTCATTCACCTACACGAAATAGAATGCCAATGAAAGTTCCTAAAAGTCCGTTAGGTCACCCAATCAAGATGATGGGAATCCATGAGCGATGAACGTTTTTGGGTTGGGGATGATCCACTAAAAGTGCAGGCCGCAAAATAACAAAATCTTCATCATAACGTAGAGAAGAAATTAGAACTTCACAAAGAACCAAACCAACAAAAACAACATGACAAATAAACTCATCATATTGAATAATTGGACCCGCAACGAATTGAGAAATTTAGTGATCGTGCTTTATAAAGTTGTGTGTATCTGTATGCTCACTCACTTTGATTCATTGTATTTGCCATCGTTTTTTTTTCATGGATGTGAGTCATACAAAACTCAGTAGAGAGACTATAGTTGGACCAGAACAACGATATTGCCCTCCTTCACCTGCACGAATTTGATTAGTAATGGAAGTTCCTAAAAGTTCATTGGGTCACCCATTCGAAAAGATGGGGATCCTTACCTGAAAAAAAAAGAGACGGGGACCCATGACCGATGAGCTTACTTGGGTTGGGGATAATCCACTAGAAGTGCAGACTGTTGAACAACAAAATCTTCGTTATAACGTTGAGAAAAGATTCCAACTCCACAAAGAACCAAACCAACAAACAACATGACACGTAAAACTCATTAGCTTCAAATGATTGGACCCGCAAGGGCACATTCCTCTCGGGCTCCATGGCACCGCCACTACCGGAGTAATTTTATTCAGAAAACTACGCAGCTACCATTAGAAGTTAACGAAGACTGCATCTCTCAACGCCAAGATGCAACTGTGGGCGAGGGGACAAGAAGATTCTCTCCGGTAGCGACTAGGGCTGACTACTACAGATCCAAATATCACTAACCCCTCATCATTGGCCGTCCAATGACCACGCGTCAGTGATGAGCACTAGCACTGACCAGCCATGCGAGACATTTTAGCGATACTAGATAATATCCTGCACGTTGTTGTGGGAATATTTTGCAATACATTTCAAAGATATTTGATTGAATGGAACATGAATATTTGGAGTGGTAGTATTAGAACTAAAACTGAAAATGTCTATGGTCTATTGTGTTTGATAATTGTATAGTTGTAATAAAATATTTAATAAATATAAATAGCATAATAGAATGAAAAATGGCATACATACATTTATATTGAGGTGGTTTTTTCCTATGCATGGTTGCATGTTGAAGTGAGCATTTGTTGCATGATGAGGTGGCGTGCTTGCATGTTGAGAGAAATAGGTTAGTAGGGGCTAGCTATTTAGATACAGAAGATTGCATTTGGTGCTCAACTTGATGCTTATCATAGACGAGCCAAACAATGACCGGTCATAGATCGTGTGTAGCTACGACCAAAACGGGCCAACAATTTTCAAAGCACGACAAACAACACATGCGAGAAAAAAGATGCAACACGAATCTCAGAGCAAAATTCAACGACCAAGAATTAACCGACTCATTCAAAATTTAGTTGACTGATATATAGCTAAAGTGGTGGTAAATGATAATACTACAAGCTATTCTTTTTTTCCGGAGAAATAAAGGGTATTTATTCCAAAATCACAAGGTTACAATCGTTCG